GGGGGGGGGCTGTGAGCTTTGCGTTTTTCGTATTATAGCTTTTAGCAATAATCCTCCCTCTTAAATGTCAAGTGGGATAGTGCTATATATGGTTGCGTAGGCTGGCGAGACGTCAGCGTCACTGACATGGTGGCTAATGTTTCGGCTAGCGTATTGTGGCCTTCTCCCGGATAGCCTAGACAACATAGTGCTACGTAGTTAAGATTGTGCGAGTTCCTTGGTGTGTCTCGGAGGTAATGTTTAAGGTGGTGCACGAATATCTCGTGTGAAATTCCATGATGTCGGAGCCACTCCACAGGAGTTGGGTAGCTACGTAGTTGATATTTAATGTTACATCAAACCTCTTGAGGTAAATGTTATTATGTTGAAATTATTAGGTAGAAGTGAGTGCTTTAAATATACATCAAAAAAATACTGTACAATGTACTACATAAAATTACAGTTTCGTTTGTTGCCTTGCTTTTGCAATTTTTCCTCTGTAAAATAAATGCGGTTTGTTCTCACTGAAATCAATGTGCATGCTCCTTGGTATCCCCTTTATCCAAGGTTTAGAAAGTTTATTAAGAATTTTTATCTTTTGTTAAAAGTTTTCTGAAAATGGCCTCAGATGATACAAACCATTGTATGGGCAGCTTTAAATTCATTGAATGTGCTCACACAAATGACACTTGACAGGTTTGCTTTTTCTCTGAAGCTCAAAACGCAGGGCAATAGAAATATTGATTCTTTAATAACTTCATGCCAATATAGGGAATTCAAAAAATTGAGTAAAACATCACCTGAACCAAGATATCTTTCTACCTCAATGAGTGCCAATAATAATTTATGAATAAGATTCATTTACTATTGATTTTAAAGCTTAATTGATGATTAACATAAATCAATTTTTAGAAATAAACACATTAAATATTTTATTTACAAACGTGTTGCAGTAAATTCATTTTAATAATTTTGTAATACTCACTAGCATGTTCTTCTCGTTGATTGGCATGCATGGTGTTATTAAGTTCAGTAGCAGATCCAGGAATAAGTTGGACACAGAGAGGATTAAATGTCCAAGTTTGTCCATCTATGCTGACACGTAGATCACCATCAGAATAAATTTTTATAACTTTTCCCAATTTACCAAGAGCCTGCGTCAAAAGATCAACACTGTAAGTGTAAGCACTTGCAAGCATAACAATGATAAATCACTAAGGAAAAGAGCTGAGAATTAGAATTTGCTAACCTTTCAACACCTAATACCTCCTAATTTTATAATTTTCCAGATATGGTGAGGATCATTTTAAAATATGTGACTAAGGTAGTGAGGTAGAGATAAAAACAAATTGTGTTATCTCTAGCATGGAAACTATTAGTAGCTTAGTTTTTATTGCAGAAGAAATATTTATCAGCCATGGGTACAAGAAGCATTTACACTAGTTTTCTGAAATTTCATGAGGATTACTAAGCATTATGACATAGATCAAGTTAAGATTCCAAGAGCATATTGCTATCAACTCATGAGGTGAACTTTACCCATAATATCAGGTGTCATAAAACACCAGGTTTGTTTTTGAAATGAGAAGACTATTAACATTAAAAGACCTAAATACTAAAGGTTTGGAATCGATTGTAAAGTCCCAGGCCATGAATATTGTGGCTCATTCAGGACAATCTTTAAATCAATAAATCCCCATTCCTTACACCCTCCTGAGGAGGTAGGTGGAGGTAGTTAACTTGAATATTAAGGGATATTGTTTACTAAAAATTATGTATTCGATAAAATTTACTGAGTTTAATTACATTTTAAAGACCTTTAATCTTTATGTAAATGTAAAAGGTAAGTTTAATTTTTTTTCCCCCAATTGCTATTTAATTACAGGTTTAATCAATAAAGCTCTTCTTTCATTGTTGTATGTTGTGTTTTGTTTTGTTTCTTTACAGAATGTCCACTGTGGGAGACTTTCTTTACCTAGAAATGCTTAAATTACCAATACACACTCAATTTCAACTGTTTAAAAAGAACACAACAATAAAGAGTCACAATGTCAGAATAGTTTACAAACAAAATTTTCAATTTACTTGGGAACTGAAATAAGAAAATTCACTTTGAAAATTGACAAGTTTTTAAAACATTTCTGTGGGTTGACGCCAAATTACTGCCCAAAAGTTCTTACTTTCCATTCTTGTCATGCCTAACAGCAAGGGTTAGTATACAAAACCTAGGCATACAAGTCATCCTAGCACTTCCAATAGTTTTCTTCAATTCTGGTATTCTCTATCTATATACTTGATTATTTTAATGAATTCTCTAATTTGAGAAACAAGTTTTATAACCAACCATATTTCAGTGACATAAAATGAGGGCATAAAATCATATGTCAAAATAATTTTTACTTACACTTTTCATAACTTCAATCCATTCTCCATGGCCTTTCTGGTAATCCCGAACTTTGGCTAAATCATGTTTAACTCTAACAACATCTCCTACAGAAAAAGTGTTGACTTTTGTAAGAGAACCAGGATGGAAAGTCCACCTATTGTTGCATCCTTCATACTGTACTCTTATATCTCCTCTGTCCGTAACTCTGTGGACTGTTCCAATTTTTCCTATATACTAAAAAAGAATTTAAAACAAACATTAGTGTCCAATTCAAAATAAACATGAAACAGGAAAAATAAGAAATAGTTGTTATAAAAACATACCTCAGCCATGCGTGGATTCCAACCACCATGGCCTTCTTGCATTGCTTTCAGTGTTGCCACATCTTTCAAAACCTTTACTTTATCACCCACAATAAATGTTAGATGTCGAGGAGAACCAGGTGCCCTACTTGCACCCATCAATACTTCAATATTTTGTCCTAAACGTCAAAACAAAAACATAATGAGAATGGTGGCTGCGGGTACATTAATTACATATTATACAATTGAAAATACAAACCTAAAACTGGCAAATGATCTCTGTAGTAGTAACCTCCTGGTGCATCTTGAACATATTTCAGATCTACTTTTCCTTTGTGGCCAAGTCGATAAACATTAGTAGAGCCAGACGTCCATGTCACATTGGCTACAGATCGCCCTGATTCATCATCCCAGCCTCGAATGTCAATGACTCTGCCAGTTTTACCTAAGAAAGAGAATAGAAGGATATAATAAAATACTCTCAAAACAACCATGCAATTCAAAACATACTTTTGGAAAGCATGTACTAATTAAAACGATGTTGCACAATACTCAGAGAGAAATAATGAATGGGAAATAAAAGAAAAACAACAGAAAAAATGTTTTCAAAATCCATACCTTCACCACCATCCTGATTGCTCCAATCCCAATCTGGGCCTCTGACAACTTTCGCACCAACAAATATTCCTTTTATCTGAATTTTAGTACACCCTTTTCTGGATCCCATTTCAATTCTTCAACAAGGAAAAAACAATAACAAACTTTTAATTGAATAACAACATAAACTAACTGAGTGTTAGATTCATAAAAATCCAATTTATTATCTAATATGCAGAAGAAGATGAAGACCAAATTTAACACATAAGGAAGGTCAAAGAACTACCCCTGATAAAAACTAATCTGATTGAAGTAATTCATTACATTCATTCCTTTTCATACAATTTACACAAGAATTTCACAAATGGTTTGAAATCTCACTCCTCATATTTGACTGAATATTTACTGTACTAGTTATAAAATTTTCCTAAACTGCAAGCTTCAAACATTAGTTGGCTCAACAATTATGGCATTTTTTATTTCTACAAAATTTTGTTTTAAATTTGTATTGCAAATAATTACAAAAATATTGAAGATAGACAATTCTATGAAAAAATATTTTAAATTACTACTAAAATTACTACATTAAATTACAGGAACAAGGAATAATTTAACATCATATCCATTCACAATAAAGAAAAAAATATATGTTTTTTGTGCATTGATACTAGAATTTCATATACCCCCCACAAGACTACTGCTCACTCTATGAGCTTATTTAGGTCACAGTCTGTGATCCCCAATAGTAAGAACATAATTACACTTTTTTCGCCTTCAAATTCATGATAACTCACCCAATTGAATTGGCTGTTTCAAATCTTTGAAATATGTGATCAACATTATGCTTATCAGACATGTAACACGTTGTGCACAAGTCATAATCATAACAGCGCGTGCATTTCCATCGCATGCCTGCAATTCCATGTTTTTTACAACCATCACAAATGATGTTGGGGTGTTTAACACCTGAAATACAATAAGATTTAAATACATATTTGCAACAATAATGTGTGCAAAGCATGCCAAAGAAAACATTCTTGTCTTTAGAGTGAAAAGTACAAAGTGTTAGAGATTAAAGCATAGAGAAATAATAAGGATATAATCAAAGGGAGGCAAGCAGCACGGGAGGTCCCATCACTATACTCCAATTTAAATAGAGTGACTTCTGACAGAAGCCACTCTATTTAAAATGGCAGATTATCGCAGACTAAAGCGAAGATTATCAGCTGCAATGCAGTAATCCAATTAGGCCCCGCAATACAAAAATTTAAGTTTTAACAAAGCTCCCAATTGGGCTTCCACATCCAGCTAATGATCTCTCAGCAGTCACTATTTGAATCAAAGTTGCAATATTCACTTGTAAAAACACATACTACATTTACATAACATCAATGGTTGGTTGAAAATTAAAGTATAACAACATTTATAAAACTACATTGGAAATGACCATTTGCAACAATCTTCAGATGTATTATCATTTGATACAAATTAAGAGAAAAAATTACACTGCTTTAAAATAGGAGCAGGTGAAGGGAACACTGTAAGCACCTTCCTGGCAAAATTTGATTAGCTCTCTTGTCCCCACCTCCACAGCAGCCCTATCACAGAGACAAGATAGATGTTATGACTTGCCTTTGGTTCAGCTCTTAGGAAACGTTTACCATGTTTGTGTAAGAGTGCTGCCACAGAGGCCAGGAAAAAGGAGAAAATCAAATTTTGCCAACAACTATTATGCTCCCCTGAGCTGCACTTATACTTTATGACTTAATATTTCATATATTTTTCTTTCTAAGGCTTGGATATAATAATGTTACTACACTTGCAAGTATTAAAAATAATACCAACAATTGGTATTAAGAAAATCCTCTAAAAAATAATTGCAACAAATAAACACAGGCCCAAATGTTGTCATGCTTTCAGTCTGCATAATGGAAGTTGTCTATTTTTCAAATAAATATAAACTTTCCCCCAACAATTTTCAATATGTGTTAAATAATTTTCAGCGTTCTCCCTAGGAGAAATATTCTTCTTTGTATTATCTTCAGTAAACTAAAGCTGTTTTTTATAGTGTCACAATTACAATAATAATTTCTAAAAATTATACAAACTTTTCAAAATATGATAACATTTTAGGCCATTTGATATTTACACACAATCATTTCTGCGTAACTAACTCTAATAGCAGGTGAACTATAGACAATATTTTTTAAAGCATATTACACATTGCTAAAAAATAAAAAAAACATTAAGAAGGTTAAAAATATAAAATGCCAATAAATTAAAATACAATAAAAGCTGACCAAATAAAAAAAATTAAAAAGAAATTATTTACATCTGATGATGAAGGCTGTCTATAAGTAGGAAATAAATTGTATACTAGTAAATAAAATTTATTTATTTACTTTTCAAACTATCATTAAAAGATTGTGCTACTCATGTACCACTGTGTTATTGCAATAGCAGAAATAACTAAGCTGCATTTACCACTCCATTATCTTCCGATTTATGATGTTCTTTCACCCACTTTTTTAGCAATTTTCATTTGTTTTGCATGTTGAAATACTTCAAATCTTCACAGCAAGCAAATACAGTTAAAATATATCTGATTTTGACAATTTATCTTCAAAGTTTGTTCACTTGCTGTTTTAAAAATAAGTTCTTCACTTTTCACAAGTCTTTTTATGAATTGTGAGCAATTTAATGTAAGCTAGAACACTTCACATTCGGGATTAAATGTATCTCTATATATTGTTTTTATTTTAAAATGAATTAAGCCAAAAGAAGATGAAATTTGTACGAATCACTGTTAAAAAATTTTCGCTAGTAAATTTACTTGATCTTTAAGTAAAATTTTAGAAGAAGAATTTTAATACAACATAAATAAACAATAAAGAAGCATATCATTCATTATCTTGTATTATGACATTTTACGTAGAAACATCATGAATTTTCATAAGTGAGAATATATGTGCACTATTTAATGGTCAAATATGTTATTTTCAATTCTTCAAGTTATTCTGCAACACTGATGGTGAGACAAAAATAAGAAGGAATGTGTATAGATACATACAAATAATTAAGTTGATAAATAACAAATAATAAAGTGAATGTTGATAATCTGTATCTTTTATTGTAAACCAAAAGGGCAGCAGAATCATTCATGCTTGTGTAATATGGTCCCTTTCACGATAGTGTAGTATAATTTATTCTAACAATATGATAATTTAAAACGGCAGTTGGATTCACTTATGACCAACTTTCAAAATTTACTCATTATACACAAATATTATTCATTACAAAAATTGGGCAAGTTTTTGGGAATATTCTGAAGAAGTTTCACGAAGATGTTTACTTTGTAATTACACCAAAAATGATAGAAAATTATTACATAACAATAACTATTTTTTTATAATATTAAATTAAAAGACAATATCCATGAACTCAAACTAGTAGGAACAAGAATTAAAACAAATTCCATAAATATTTTTGATTGTTGGATAAATATGTTTTATTCTGAAATGAACTAAAGGAAATTAAAATTTTGAACTATATGCATTACACTGTCAAATCAGTGTGCACCAAGACAGCAGTATTCAGCTACAAAGTAAATCTTTATAAAAGAAAATTTCAATTTAATTCCTTTCTGTGGTTAGTTTTGAAGGATATAGCATCAAGCTCTTGACACATAAGAAAATATACTATATGGAGAAAATAAAATAAGAATACAAATCAATGTTAGTTTTTCATAAGCACACCAAAGAACAGGAGTTTCATTACCATAGATAAAAAGGGCATTCTCAAATACATAACTTATCACTTCCAAAGGACAAATACTTAATAAAAAATTAAAATAGTGTGTAATACTCTCTGAAATAATAAATGTTTCAATCAAAAACACATTAAGCACAGTACCTGCAGGTGCATTATCAACAACTCGAAGATCATATGCTCCTTGATAGCCTACACGATAATTTGTTCTGGATCCCGAATCCCATTGCACCACCACAGTTTTGTCAGGAGACGATGAACTACCAAATTTTCCTATTTCTACAACAGTTCCAACATGTCCTTCACCATCATCTTGCTGGCCCCACTTCCAATCAGGCCCCCTCACAACTCGCAACCCCAGTTCCAACATTATTCCACTTTCAACTCAAACCTGTCATGCTCTCTTCGGTATTTCAGTATCTGTCAACACAAAGGTAGCTTGTACATCTTCCCATTACCAAAATTCATCAATATCACTGTTTATAAATAAGGTTCTAAAAGTTGTTCAATTTTATTAAGAACTGTCAGCAACTTTTAATTAATAAACAATTAAAATTTCTGTAAGTAAATATTTTTATTAACACAAATAACTTAATCCTCAATACATAAGAGAGGCCAAAGGTTTATTATATATTAATTCTGTTTCTGATGAATCCTGTTTTGCATTAATACACAGTTCTTATATCTTATCCCATGCACTTTTTTCACTAGTAGAAGGAAAAGAAAACTTCAATTTCGCAAATAATGTCTCACACGTATTCATTACCTTCTCATGAAACGATCATATTTGCCTGCTGAATGAACAAGGAAAACTGCTGTCATAGGGACATGTACATTCACAGTGTTTCATCTGGAAGCCCGTAAGCAAGTTACCAAGACACAAAACATGACGTCTTCAGTGACGGTGATATCTTGTGATGGCTAGAATCTCTTTGAACAACTCCATTTGACGCAACTGAATGGAAACTCTATGTCAAGAATTCTGAGTCGTGTCGGCGATTCGGCAAGTTTTCATGGTTGAAAATGTCTGCAAATAACTGTGGGAATTGAGGGGGATGTTGGGGGTCGCCACCTTCAGCGTTGGATGTACCTTGCTGGAAAAGTATTAATTTCTCCTTGCCAAGAGTACAATATTACATCTTCATATGTTTAACACAAAAACGTTCAAATCAAGGAATGCAAATGAAAATTGGACAAATAACATTCCCGAGAGCATTCTTATGAGTCGTTGAGACCAACGGAGATTGCCTTTGTTTTACTTGTCAACTCGTCGATTCGCCCCATCCTGGAGTTTTAATGAAGCCCTGTAGAGAAAATCACCAAAAATTACCAATTCACATTCTGACATGTAATCAGCATCATGGGGGGGGGGCGCATGCCCCTCTGAAAATTTCGAGAGGGCCTATGTAATAAAACATGTTTACGTACGTGCGATTTTCCTATGATTCTTCCCTTTAAAGCTGACAATTTTGCATTTGATTCATGACATTTGGAGAAGAGGCTCTCCAAACATCTGTCAATCCTGTACATACGTATTAGTGCAACATGAAATCAATTGTATTTACAGAATGACCACTTTCAGGAAAACAGGAAAAATGCAGGGAAATTTGTTAAAAGTTACGGATATTTTAATTTTTTCATTTCTCATAATAAATCCTAATTATACCCCAACCTATAAACATTTAAAATGCGTTGCTGCTATTAGACTTTTTATTTTGATAACCAATTAAGTCTCACGCTCTTTCTCGTCTATCGACGTCGGAAACTTTCGATCGAATTGCCAGGGGCCAATTTGCAGGGCTCTACAATGCAGGTGTATTGTCAATCAGGTCGATCCTGCGACCCATGATGGCGAGGAATAGCAAAATGCGCTGGAGATTACACATAACTATAACATTGAAGAGATGTAACTTTTTTTATTGAAGTTATCTCAATCAGTTTTAGGATTTATTCGCTAAATGCGAAATTGTTTCGATTTTTTCCTCTGCAGAACTTCAGAGGATTTTGTAATGCGACGTACAGTATGATTTACGAGTTTCAGCAAATCACTGTAAGGAATTATCTTTTTTAAGTACAATGTCTTTTTCATCACGTTATTGATCCACTTATTAACTTAGTCTTAAGTTAATACCAGTTAAGATAACTTATCAGATACGTATTAATAATAATAATAATAATAATAATAATAATAATAATAATAATGTGATAAACCATTTATGTGACTTAAAAGGGAAAGAATGAGGCCAGAATCGCAAGCAGTTGTAATAGCTGCCCAAGATCAGGCGTGAGAACACATTATGATATAGAGGTTCTCAAAACTTGCCGATAAGCGTTTGCCAGGAAGAAGTAGAAACCATTGATCATATCTTCTCAGCTTGTTCAATCTGACTGAATACTTGAAAAGACACTACAGGGCATGTAGTTAACTCAGCTGGCAGATCTGTACCGCTAAGTTCCAAACACATGCTCCAAGTACGAGCACTTACCAAAACCGGCGACGTCTGTTGGACTGTGTACAATAATGTACGACCAACAAATTCAAACTGATCGCATGATAGTGGCCAGAGAGTATATATCATATATAGTGGCAAACAAATCTGAAATTGTTATCTGAGATTTGGAGAGAGAAAAAAGTGTCCACTTGTAATGTATCTGTGCCGTGCGATCAAGTCGTCGTAACCAAGGAGGCAGAGAAACGTCTTAAATACAAGGGTTTGGAAATCGAGATCAGCCGATTGTTGGGCGTAAAAGCACAGGCCGCACTGATAGTTATCTCAGGCAAAACTCTCAGGCCAAAAGACTGGGAAGTGCTGGACATTTCTTTGTTTGGAACAGCCCACATTTTGCGCAAAGTATTGTAGAGGCACCGATAGTACCTAGATCGGCTCCTTAGGAAGATGGTTGCAACCCGGAGTAGATTTTATAACCAACAGATCTATAACATATTTAGTCGAGAATAATAATAATAATAATAATAATAATAAACCGAGCGAAGTGGCTCAGTGCGTAGCGCGCTGACTTTGCAGCCGGTAGGCCTCCCTGACAGGAGTTTTCGTGTTTTCCTTAGATCATACAAGGCAAATGCTGGGATGGTTCATAACGGCTAAGATTAGCTCTCAACATCATCCTATCACTTTTCGAGGCTTGACAACCTTATCAATGGATACAGTCGAAAAGCTGATCCTCATTACTGACACGTTAATCTCTCTCAGGAATAGAATATGATTGGGTCAAATCTAAAAGCGTCTGTCTGTGATTTCGAATTTTAAACTTTTAAATACTCTTTCAATTTGCTTTTATTATCGGGAAGGATACCACGAAATAAACATCAGACCCAGTAGGGTCAACTGACAACTCGGGTAGCCAAAAGCTGGACAAGAACACTCACGTGAGTGACGGACGGACGAATACAAGCAGGTTACTCGTCCTCTTATATGTAGGATTATGGCGTTATCTTTCTTTGATTTCAGAATTAAATTCGTAGAGGATTCGTACACAATTCTGAAAGACGACTTCTTTTGGCAGCGAACACACGAGTATGCCATCCTATAAAATCCACTCCCTTGTATAGGATCACATACGGGCAGAGGTGGGGAACGGGAAGGTAGGAAAGAGAGTCAGGAACGGGCTTAAGGGAAAAGAGCGAAAGGGGAGCGGCGCAACGGACGGAGGTAGAGCGAGAGAGCAGATCAAGAGGAAGGGAAGGGCGGAGCGGAACGACTGAAGAAGGGAGAAGCAGGTAAAGCAGAAGGATTGGAATAGGGCGGAGCGGGAGGTCGGAGGGCCACGGAGGGCCGATGTGGCAGACACTGGCGGATCAGGGGGGGGGGACATCCCCAGAGGCACAGACGTTTCTTTACCTTCTATTATTTGGCAACTTTATTTTAATATTTTAATTTTGTAATTATTTAAACAATAATATTGTATAGTATCATATCTTCAGTACAAAAATATTCATAAAATATAAATAACAAAATACGTTTAATTATTTAACAAAAATATACGAACCCCCCCCCATGATCAGCTAGACCCGCCCCCGGTGGCAGGGCCGTGTTAACAACATTGGGGGGCCCCCCCCTCTTGTTACTTTCTCCAATCTCCTCTCCCCCAATGTCGAAGCTGAAATATAAAGAAAATCCTATCAATTAAAGTAATCAAAATATTTAAAGGCAAGTTTTGTTTAAAAAAATTGAACTTCCTATCATTGAGTGATATTCTTGCATCAACCAGCAAACATTAATAAATAATAATAATAACAATATTTATTGAGTCACATATACAATTACAATCGTGTATGACAAGTCAATATGAGGGTGGAGAGAGCGAAGTTACATTACTGTTCAGGAGCAAAACAAGGCGCCATCTCTGCATTTGCTCAAGGGACCAGGTAAACTGAACAAAACCTGATCGAGATGGGGTCATTGGCCTACAATACTTGCTACCAAATATTAACTTTAAATTCAAAACTATAAATATTACTCAATGATGCATGACTCATCACCCTGTTATGCCAATTTTTTGTGTATAGTTTAACTATACATCATTTTTTTTTATTTATTTTATTTTCTGAAAACTATCTTATTAAATAATTGTTTTAAGAAGTATCAGGGGCTTTGGTTCTGTGCATTACGGCACCTGGGTGCAGGGGGATGGAAAGCGATAAGAGCAAGAGGAACAGATAAACCTGAATATGTTGGATGGGAGGTGTTTGCAGAACGGACATGGCATGCCTGATAGGGTGTGTGGGAGAGACGGACGAAGTGTGTACGCTGGGAAGAAGTGATTAAGCAGAATATCTGGGTGGGGCCAGACCAACACAATAGCCTTATGGCAAGCAGGGGCCTTATGGAAGCCAGATAGGGTGTGTACTGATTCAAACATTATTCACCTAGGTTATTAATTGGATCCATTTTAAATCTGTTGTCACTAATTAAAGAAAAATAATGTGTTTCCCTTGAAAATTTGTATTTGGTGATATTTGTTGCATAGCAATCTTCGAATTAATGTGAACACCATAATTAATGTGATACCATAGGTTGTGTCTGACCAAAAAAAGTGTTTACCTATTAAATGTGAAGGTGTCAGATACCATTATTAATAGCTAAATGCCTGAAGCAGAACTTTCTCCAAAAATAGTTATTCACTTAACAAAAAAATAGGTTTTCTGATAAAATTTACCAGAATACAAAAACAATTGTATTTGTATAATTCATTTTTTAACTTCGCACAAGGTCCTTAAATGATTTTTTTATTCAGGTTTTTTGGTTATCATACAATAGCATATACAAATTAGGCACTTCATAGGTCAGCATATTTCAAGCACGTTTACTATTTAACTGAAGTTCTGATACTAATTTCTCTTAGAACAGACTATATAGTTTCTGCAAGCAATCTTAATAAGAGCCTTTTTTTCCCTTCCAAGTTGAAATGCAGCACAAAGACAGATTCTTGCACTATAGCATTCTAGACACAATTTACAAAAAATCAATCTTAGCCATAGGCAGAACAAAAACTGCAGAGAGGAAATTACAATTTAGGATCTATTAAAAAATGAAAACTATGATTTACATAGGCATGGGCTGATTCAACTTTTAAGCAGGTTTGGAACATTTCATTTAATATCTTTAGCAAGTGAATTTACAGCATGCCAAGTGTTAAGTGATGTTACTTTGATGATCGGTGGATTTAAAAGCAATAAATTGATTTTTTATTCAAGAGAAATTGTTTTTTAAACAATTTAATATTAATCTAGTTTAATGTACTAATACTTTTATTAGATTGGATAAAGTTAGATTTTATGAGATTTGCTGAAGTCAGAATTCAACAACATCATTACAACGTCATTAGCCTTATTATGCAACTACAATGCACAAGTTGCTCTTATTTCAGTTTTTAAAAGACTATTAGAACTTTAAAAAAATTCAATAGCTCAAATATATCGAGTACAATCCAGGGCAGATCATCATTTTCAGTGAAAGTCAGCAAGAAATGAAACCAAAACTTAGGTTCTTAGCCAATTTCCTCTCTACAATTTTACTTGCCCTTATATTACAACTTCATTATTCTATAACCAAAAAAATATGAATATACAATAATACAATTTTCATTGCCTCTTGTAGTTTTCATAACTTTATGGTAGCTGTCTTATGTATAACACAACAGTTTTCACTTAAGAGACCAATTTACCTTTTAAACCTTTTACTCTGAATCTTCATTCTTATACCTTTTTGTTAAAGTACAAAAAGTAAATACAATTTTTGCTGAAAATTAAACAAATGATAAATTGAATAGAAATCAGGAGATGGTGAGATTAATTTCCAAATGGGAAGCTCATTTGATTTTGTTAAAGATGAGGTAAATGCATTGCAGTGGCAGCTCGTGAACAAATGCTAAAAGAGACAAAACAAAGATTTCAGAAAACTGGTGGATCTGCGAAAGGGGGGATATGATTCCTCTTTCTGGATAATTTTATTTAATTTATTCAAAACAATTGTCACAATTAATATTGATTGCATCATATTCTGAAGAAGAATTGTCATCAATTATTATTAAATAAATTTCTGAATAATACTATAGTAAAATCTGTTTACGACAGAACCTCTGTAAGATGAAAACCAGCTATTCCCGACAAAAAAAATCTCGGAGCGGAACGATTTTATATGTGAAAATAATCGCTATAAACGGAAACAAAATATTTTTTTAAAGAACGTGGAGTGATTATTACTTGGCTAAGACAAAAATTTATGTTTAAAATTCCAGCAATATCTTTGGAACTGTGATTGTTTCGAGTTCGCAACCAGTTCAGATGAACAAATCCAGCTGTAGGATGTGTTACTTATGCAATCGAGATTTCTTACTTTCGTTCAAGTAAAGTCAACTTGCACACTTTTGATTTGGACTGTTCTTTACTAGGAAATTTGTCTTTATTTACTGTGAAATTGGCGAAACCAACAATGGAACTGACAGGCATTACAGGAACCTTAGATTACATACTCACAACAGCTGACATAACAAAACATGAGCAAAGAAATCGAATAGTCTACTCAGACATTCCATGTTGAACTTTTGTCCTAAATATTATTTGAAGCAAGTACCACTAAAATGTTAATAAAATCAATAAAGTCACCAAAAACTCATAAAAAAATGGGTCATTTTCATACCTCAAAACATTTTAAAAAATCCATACATGAAAAGGCATTGGTCTAAAGTGAAAAGAAAAAAAATGGCATGCCAAGAAAATCTGCACTTAGTAATAAATTATGCTACGTTTTCATTCTTTTGTTTCACTAACAATACCATATCAAAAATACTGCACTTAAGTTAAATAGTCATTTTTTGGCAACCCTCCGTAAGACAGAAATCTGCTAAGACCAACTTTTTCAAGGAACCTTCAGGTTCCGTCTCAAACAGGTTTTACTGTATATACTGTTTAGGTCATCCCAGTCAGAGGGACTGCCGTGTCATCAGTCTAAGCCAGTTCAGCAAGTCATAACATTGACATAAAAATATATTTAAATCTACAAACTACAGCAACACACACAAATAATCAGCAGCATACTAATTTAAATTCAAAATGTAGTAATAAAAGCATTGGTAAACAATAATAAAAGCTTTCCTGTTTTTAACTTGACCTCCACTATAAATGTGACAGAAAATTGAAGCCATTCTCAATCACAATTCTCCTGCCTAGCTGAATGTGCATACACCTAGTGAGGGCAAAATGTGTTATAAAAGAAATACTTAACTATGCTCATTCTCAGGCCTTTTCTCAAAATACAATGTGAAGCGAGGCAACTAGTGAACATGCCTACCCAGAGAGACAACTTGAGACAATGCGAAGAGGTCACGAGACTGATTGTGTGGTGTTTTCAAAGTCTTGAACTGAAAATTAGCATGTACTACCATAATGAAATGTCCATTTTATATTTACCGATGAAAAATATTGACAATACAAAAACAGTAAGTATCATTTTAATTTTATTACATGGTAAAGGTACCCCAAGGAGCTGCCACTGATGCATTGCCATATTTTCTGGAACTACTTTTAGATAACTACTAACAGGAAGCAAATAGGTTATTTGCAATTGAAAATGACCACTGAGAAGTAAATTGTAAAAACTAAGTAGAAAAATCTGATCTGCATACTACCACTATTTCCAAAAGCACCAGACACTGCAGAATTGCAAATGTTTAACCCTTAAATAGTTGTGCTCCATTTTGTTAGATAAGATATCACTTGATAAACTGTGAACACCACTTAACAAACCCAAATGTTTCAAGATGTATTGATCATACACAATAAATATGGCATTTATCTAAATATTGATATTTCATGTATTAATAAATCTTTTTAGCTGTTGAACCTTTGTCAAATTAGAGACACATATTATGTATGCCTTCTTGCGGTTCTGGATTCAATAAAGTATTCGTGAGCTAACAGAGGCTAGTACGGCAGTGTCCCTTTTTGGGAATACAAAAGATAGATATCATTTCAACAAATTATTGATTATGAAACTTATTGCCTCTAGGTTTGAGAATTGCATGGTATTTTCCTTTAATTTTTCACCAGGTCATGCATCTTAGCAGTATATGCTAAACAACTGCAGGGTAGGTCTTGATATTTTCAGTCATTTCAATGTTTGGAATAGATTAATTGAAGGTGAAACTAGAGACTTCAGAGTATAGAAGCATAAAACAATGAAACAATCCTAAACATCTATTAAGAAATATGAAATATCTAGTGACAGTGGTGTGCAAAACAACTTCTTTAGGGTTAATACATATTGCACAACAGTCCACAAAGGTAAGCACATCCATATTTAATTCATCTTCCACCATCTGTTTGCAATAGTGAAAGAACTGGGTTCTGAGAGGCACGTCATATATCCACTACAGATTAGGAGAGCTATTATTTACAGAAGTGGCTTCAGAAAGTGAAGTACAAATGTAATAGAAAGAATAATTATTCCATACTTCCACAAGAAAACAGAAAGCCATTTTTGTAATTAATAATTATCTGCACCATTAAAACCAATATTAAAAATATAATATGCTTTAAAAATAATTGCACCTAATACATTTTTAATTTTAACAATTTACAATTAAACTTTGGTATGGCCAACACAAATTAAAATCATAATAAATTATGTAGTTCCTTCAACCATGTGAGTGATTACTTTGACACTTGTTCATATCAAACTAAATCGGGGATCACGGACAGTGAGTAACATTCACTTATTATCAGAAAATTTAGATTATTCAGAAATTATTTACATTCATTTCATGAATGTGGGATAACCTATCTCAGACCTATGGTTCTCCCAATTATTTTCGTCATTTTGCCCTGTGTTATGTGGACAAAACAAAAGACCAATTTGTTTCTAGAATTGACAAAGCGTTTACTTTAAAAGTTCCGTTTAAAGAACTATTATTTCCATGAATTGTACTTTGATTAAAAGTTAGTATTTTGCAAGATTAGTTGAAAATGTGATGAAAGAGAATATTGCAGTTTCTCTGACATTTAGAGAGTGTTGCCTCATCATCCAATTTCTAATTGCATAGACCCCTTTTAATTTCTCTAGCAAAGACTTAATTTTAATATCCTCACATGCATTTCAACACGATTTCTATCAATTCTCACATTATTTTTACTGATGACATCAAAACAAACAATCTCTCATGAAAACTATCATTAATCTCCAACAGCACTCACTGATCTGACACTTCTAAAGCATTATCAGCAGACATACAGCATATTTGGCTGGCAGAAGAATGCATTTGGCAGACTAATATGGTTTTTGAAGATGCTCAACTGTTTCAGAACTTGTCAAAATAATCATCCACAGGCTTCAACTGTGTATTCACTACACCAATCCACTTTGCGCTAGACCTTTCTGCCTCACAAGAGAAAATTATGTCGTCTTACTACTCTTCCCACAAGCTTGTTTGCATATGTGCCAGCACTTCACACATGCAAAGTGCATTTTGTACAACCCTCACCACTTGTTCACTTTCACTTAGAGGAAGCGCAAGAGTGATTACATTATTGGAAAAGCTATTGCTATGACTTTAAACTAAAAATTAATATTTAACACTAGCAGCTTCACCATGACTTAAATGTCAAACACACAGCAGGTTAGCACAATATATAAATATTTTATTTCCAGAGTAGCAATTGCCAGCAGGACAGTTCCCATTGCATTGTAAGTAAACTCCATTTCATGGGTAATCAGTGGCAACTTCTTACCAATGAAAGAACTCACTAATTTTACTTATAGAATTCCATATGCTTCCCTGACTTCAGGTGACTTGACCATGCAATCAGAAACTTAATATCAACCTGTAATTATGTTTCAACTATAGAGGAATAAATACCTTTGCGTATTTGGAACTAATGTATTTATGCCCTTGTTTCTATTCTAATGTTGTAGCCATCCTCACAAAATTTACGTTTGCAGCCTTTATTATTTAACTATTGCATTAAAATCACTGCATCTTTTTCTGTCAAACACGTTGCAAGATTACATATATTTTTGTGAACATTACACACATACACACAACAGGATAGATTAACAAACAATTCCTTGCTTCAAAGAGAACACATCAACAATGTATTCTGGCCTTAAAACACAGGCATAAGAGACAATGTTGTAACTTGATCAGCCTTGGGAGAATTCCTATGTGAACATCAAATTAACATTTTATAAAATTAAAATGATGACTGCAGTATATCCTCAATTTATATAAAAGTACAAAGGTTATTTATAGTCATTCATAGAAAAATGTTAAAGAATACCTCTGCTTCACTGTTTCCCTTTCACAAATGGCTTCTTCAAATGATGGTAATTGGGAAGTACTCTTGTTAGAAAATCCAATTGTAGTGTTTGTGGCTGGCAAACAAAACACAGTGTTAGCAAACATTTTATGACAATGCACATTTTTATTTTTTCTATTAAGCTCAACACTGAACACAATGGCAGTTTGCTTCCATATATACGTGCAGGATTAAAGTGACATAAAGAAGCATATTTACTCATATTATTTTTTAAAATAATTATCAACAGCCATAAAATTGTTTATTTGATTTCTGTGTAACTCAGTTCAGAGAGTAAAGCAATAGAAGCATGCTGTCATGAGTATTCTTGGAACTATACTTCAATTTTTTTAAAGTGGTGCTTGATGTAAATCAGCTGTTAAGAAGACATATAATTGGGAGCTTGAACATCATCATGTTGACATCGCTGTGTTGATATTTATGCTCCTGATTCATTGACACTGTCAACAGCTTGTCAGTACACAAAGCGCCACATTAAAAAAATTTAAATATACTTCTGCTCCATATTAACTGTCACATACCATTGCCATTGAGGTACCTAGAGAACCCAAATAATGTAAGAGTGGGGAGGGGGGCAAAGGAGGCCACCAGAACAAATTGCAAAACTGTATTCTATATCAAGAACTAATACTACATGTAATTAAAAATATATGACAATCAATTTCTGCAAGTTCTTGTTATAGTATTTTCAGTTTTTGAGTTCAGGCAAGGGCTTAAATATTTTGAACAGTGCCTATTGTTTCAGTCCTTTCTGTGGCAACGCAAAGGGTCACCTTTTTTTGAAGGCTTTGTTCAACATTCACCAAGTTGCTCAAAATTCAGAACTGTTTTCTACTTCGACAGATTCTAAATTAAGATTTTAACGCATTTGTGGGCAGATCTGGCTATAAAAGAATTTAGAAGTTTCTCCAAAGCAATTATGGTTGTTGACGGTATTGAACTGTTTTGAAAGCATTGCTTATATACTGAAAGATGAAATTCTTCATCATTCCTTCCATCTGAACCATTCCTTAGGGTTCAGAACAGTAACACCATGCATAAACTAAGATAGAGGACAAAAACTACACCAGGGTCCATTGTTGACTCCTCCCAGTACAAGACTGTTAAAGGCCAAAAAAGAATATTTGTACAAAAAATGCTTGTAGCATTTCAAGAAGTAATTTGCAATTAAAATTTTCTTAACTTGGTTTTCATGTTGCGAACATTGTGCATAGTATAATTTTTCAGAAATTCTGAGAGTCTGAATTATTGGAATGTACACAGTTAAAATTACCAAACTAAAATGTTGAAATCACTTGACAATTATCAAACACCAGATTTAATCCTTCAAATATTTCAACTAGGGTTAAATTATTTCATTTTAATCAAGAAATTCACATAAATGGCACCCCAATAATTGAATTAGGGCTTTATACAATGCTGCAAAACCATTCTATTTTTAATTTCCTTGTAAACTTGACATATGTCATGCATTTTACACATGTCATTAAAACAATAATTTATTTGCTTCATAGTGATTTCTATTTCAGAAGGTTGTTTTAATAAGTTTTAATGCGTTTATATCTAACTTTAGTTTTCCAATTATGTTTTAACTAACCGGAGGTTTGTCCATTTGTTGCCTTCTTGTACACTGCTGACCAAATATAACTGTGTTTTCTGGAACAACTTCAGGACAAGTTAACTTGCAACCAGCACCAACTATACATCCATTAGTGAGTTCTACTTCTCGACCAACAAATGCTAGAAAAAATAAGGTAAATATAAACATCAGGATTTGATAAGGTTATTTCTCTTGTCCCATAAAACATTACCTTAATTATGACTTACATTTTGATTCAAGAATATTATTGTCTCCTATTTTCATGGCTTCCGAATGGCAATCTACTTCAAAAACATTGTTAGCACCAATGATTAATACAGGTGTAGAAGTTGGCTGCTCACCTTTTGGTATCCTACACACATACAAATTTGGTATCATGTTGACACAAACTACCACATTAAAATAATTATATTTACCTGTTGATAATTACAGATTGTTCCTCAATCAAATTGTTTTCGCCAATGATAATTGGCCCAGCTTCGGCGATGATTGAAGCACGAGGGTGAATAACTGTCATACTCCCAATAGTTATGTCACCTCTCAGTTCACATTCATTACAAACCATAGCACCAGGTGCAATTTTAACGCTGTTCGAATAAAATAA